AGCAACCACACAATAGGTTGGATACGTTAAAATTCTAAAGAGTAACATAGGTAGGTGGAGAGAGAGGTTGATTACTGAATTCTTGTTCATTGATTCTACACCCAACACAAAACATGCAACAGAAATGACTCAATGCAAATACCAGAGATATGGAAGATATTATTACCACCAGTCAGTCAAATCAGAGGATAATAAATAATCTTAAAATTCTATTTCAATTCACGTGCATCACAACATTCTAACAAGTTACTTATTATGACTATAAAAACACTCATCTTATTTCTCATCTGATTGCACTTGACTGATGACACTAATATTGTTATTACTGAATGTACATTAACTCATATTGAATTTTATTCCAATATCTAATCGATTCCACACATGTATATAAATGAAGGAAAAAAGTTGTGTGAGTAACTTGATATGATTATGAACAGTAATAATTTGTGCTTGAAACTTGGTCATCAGTTAATATTACTGTATAACAACACTGTGTAATTTTATCAAAATAAAATCTTATCCATAATGGAGTTATACTCTACCAGCACCACAGTGCCCAAGTTTCATACTTATATCAAGAAAAAAAAGTGAACCGAATCTGAGATCATTGCTTTTCACAATGGCAATTATATATTTCATAGCAGGACTACAGTGGAGAAATAATCTCATCGGCGTACACAATTTATTATTATTATTGTATCCTTTAATTCCTAGAGGAACATAGGGCTTCAGCCGTCCGTCTCCATTGCGTTCGGTTCTCTGCTAGAGTCTTCACCCGGCTCCATGTCTGCCCACACGTTTTCATCTCCTCTTCACATGACCTCCTTCAAGTCACCCTCGCACTGACGACCAACTCGCCACTTCCCTTTCGGGTTCCACTCGAGCGATGGCTTGTCTATTGGTGTCACTTGATGGTTTCCTCAGAGTATGGCCAGCCAATTCATCTCCATTTCTTCCTGCCTATTTGTCTCACAATTGGTTCCTGGTTGGTTCACTCCCAGAGATCCCTGACTATTGCTGATCTTTTCTGGCCGGCCATCTGATCTTGAGTATTCAGCGAAGACAACTGTTGATGAAGGTCTGTAGTTTGTTTGAGATGCTCTTTATGACGCGCAGTGCAAGTCTCTGATCCGTATGTTAAGTAGCACTGACTGATTTCACATTGGAGTTGAAAATCCGGATGTTATTTTTGATGCTGAGTGCTGAGTGTTGACCTCCACACAGACTTGAGAGTAGTGAAAGCTTGTCTTGCTTTTCCGATTCTTGCTTTGATATCCTCGTCAGTTCCGTCCAGCTGTAGTTGAAACGATGCTTCCAAGCTAGGTAGGCGTACACAATGAGAGATGCATTTATAATTAGGTCGAGTAAAAAGCAAAACCCAAAACCAAAAAGAAAACAACAACAACAACAGAAAACTTCTAGTCATGTGAGAGAGAGAGAATGTGTCAAAGTTATATTTACTGTGTGTTGTTAGTTATCAATCCTAATAATCACATCTCACATGATTCAATTCAAGCTGCACAATTTGTCTGTCATTAAGACAACTCATATACATCTTATATATATATATATATATATATATATATATATATATTAAATGCTATTACTGTGGTAACAGTCATCCAAATAATGCTCAAGTTAGGTGGAATATTTTTTTAAAACTAGAAATGTTATATTATGTATTGATTGAAATCGATAATCCTTCGTTAAATGTTATACAAAATTTCATCTAAAAGTGTTTAAAGTCGAATCACAGCACCAACAAAGAACCATCATCAAAGACCACAAGAAAATTTATTCTACCATAGATGAGAAATATCTCTGAAATAACAGCTAGAATACTGAAACCGTTTGATATAGATATAGTACACAAGCCAGTCAAATCGCTTAATTCGATATTATGCAAACCAAAAGATCCAACAGAAAAAGGGGATAAAATTAATACCATTTACAAAATAAATTGTATGAACTGCAACAAACATTACATCGGCCAAAGTGAGCGTCCCCTTCGAATTAGAATCCAAGAACACAAATCAGCCGTGAAAGGACACGATATGTATTCTTTAGTATCAATGCATATAGACAATTATAGTCATCAATTTGATTGGGATAATGTCGAAATCTTAGACAGAGGAAACACCAAAAGTGCAGTCAGGGAATTCCTAGAAGCCTGATACTCAAACGAAAATGCAATTAACAAACATGTTAACATAGACGAAATATACCAACTAATAAAAAGTAAATCATGTGACCAGAAAGTTTAAAATCCAAGTCAATAGAAAATAGTCAATACATATGTAAAGATAGTTACCAGGAGATGCAATTATATCACTCATGAAGAAATTTAAATCATTTCATTTTATGCTAAAACTTGCACTGAAGGGGGATGTTGTCCAGAAGGACGACGAAAGCTCCGCAACAAAACCAACCAGCTCAGAGAACACTATTAATTGCAAATCATCCACCTGAGCTACAAATCTTCTCTATTATTTCAAAATGTTATACTAAGCCATAGTTTACTAAAATGAGCATGATTTGGAAGTGGCCTATATATATATATATATATACATATATATATATATATATAGAGAGAGAGAGTACGTAGGAGGTGGGGAAATCAGTGGATGAAACTTTGAAATTACATCGAATGAGATGGTTAGGACATGTGTTACGCATGCTTGCCTAGTCATCGCCTTCCTCGACAATGTTAGCTGATATAGGGCCAGGCTGGAAAAGAGCTAGTGGCGGTCAAACGAAAACATGGCAACAGTCGATGAAATCTACAACAGTTAGTCTAAGCCAGCCACTTAGGAAGGTGTAGACTTCCTGGTTGGGGTGCTCGGGACGGTGAAAATCAATGGCTGGAGACAATCGGTGATATGGCTCAAGTTCGTTCTCAGTGGCTAGCGCAGATGCATCCACTCCTTGTGACTTATGATTTCCAATTAAACTGTTTTGTTCTTCGTTATTACTATACCTTTGTCTCACACCACTGTTTACTGTCTATATTATGCATTTCTTCTCTTCGTTTGTGTGCTACATGGAGCGTGGCGACTTTCACTGCCGCACATATGTGCAAAATTCTATGTCGAAAACCAACCGACCGACCTGAGCTACAAATCTTCTCGATTGACATTTCCATTTGACTGGACGCATACACTATTATTATTATTATTAGTAGTAGTCCCTTAGGTTCCGAGTGGGACATAGGGCTTCAACAACAAACACATCTCCACTTTGTCCTATTCTCTGTCGTCCTCTTCACTTGGGTCCACGATTGACCATAATCCCTCATCTATCCTCCTCGCCACACGATCTCCTCCATGTCACCCTAGCACTGACGACCCACTCGTCGCATGCCATTGGGATTCCACTCGAGCGATGGCCTGCATTGCACGCAATGTCATTTGTCCTATCCATCTCCATTTTCTCCTACATATTTGTTGACGTTTTACACTATACTGACGATGATTGTCAGTAATGACGAAAACTAGTCTGTGTGTCTGTAATATCATGCTAACCGTTATCCGACTACTAATTATTTTTTTTTCCTTCACGTTCCCCAGTGGAACACTGGGCTTCAAGCTATTGGCTTAAAGTTTCTGTAGCAGTGCTTATTTTACAGGATGGAGTTGCTAGCCTCATACCCAACGTTTCCTCTTCACCAGCATTATTTCTGGCTTAGCGAGGTAAGGGAGTTCGTCTGTGGCCGGGGATCGAATCCCGGACCATGTAGCATGGTCGGTCGGCGAGCACCCTAACCGTTGTGCCACCGACGCACACTACTAATTATTAGTAACTTCTTTTTCTTGAATAAGTTGATTACCCCGTTGAATCATTCATTATATATGTACATATATAAGATGCTGTTAGTGAAAAATTCACCCCATATGAGATGATAAGCATAGTACTGATAGATTGGAAAATAGCTTCCAAATTTTTGAATGACGACTAAACCCACCCACTCCCCAACCCCTATGAAAGTATTTAATACACTAAAGTATAGTATCTTTTGGAATCTAAGAGGAGAGGAACCTCAGTCTATAATTAAAATAGGCAGCTAGCTATTATTAACAACACGGGTAATGAGTGGTAAAACAAAACCTGAACAATTCTATATCAGTCAACTAAGATTGCCCACTGTCGAGGAAGGCGATGGCTAAACGTGCATGCGTAACACATGTCCTAACCATCTCAATCTATGTAACTTCACAGCCTGGTCTATTGATTTCCCCTCAACACTTACCTAGCACTCGACCGATGCCTAACCTCAATATTGCTCAATCTATTATGCCCTTTCACACGGGAGATAGGACGCAATCACCTATGATCAAAGACAGCCAGCCAGCTGGTCTTTTCATGTCTTCCACTCTCAATGGCCAGGTCTCACCAACAGCGATAAAGGAGGACGGAACGGACTTCTGAGCAGTACACACGTCTTTTGGTCGATAGGCAGCTGAATATCACGTCTACTCCAGAGATGGCGTAAACTGACAGATGCGAAACGAGCCTTCTGTATCTGTGCTGAGATTTCGTCAGCGATCGACCCTCTGACGTTAGCTGATGCAACTTCCGAAATAAGTGACGCGGTCAATGTGCTCTACCACTTCATTCCCTATCTCTAAGCTAGGAGTCAATGCATTCATAGAAACTTGATATTCTAAGGACTTTATAGCCATCTAACTTATACCATACTTTGTTATGAATTACTTTATAATCTTTTTTAGATTAGTTTTTATCTCACAGAATATTATTGTTTCTGAATAGCTGGTGGGTAGTTTATCACACATAACAGACCAGACATCAAGGTCATTTCATCCAGCGGAAAGTTTCCAATCATATCGACTATTGTATTGACCCTTTTTTTCTTTAACGCGGTATTATTGAAAGTCGGATAACTTCATTCTATGTTATGATAATCTCTTGTCAACAATTATCATCACCATCATTTATATTATCTTTCTCTCTCTCTCTCTTTCTCTTCCTTTTGACATGCACAGGTCTTCAGTAATTCTAGTGCAATAGCCAAGCATAAGTTAACGCACAGTGAGGAGCGTAAATACATTTGTACAATATGCCATAAAGCATTTAAACGTCAAGATCATTTGTAAGTCGATTGTCTGTGCCCTCTGTTGTTGTTTTTATCCTAAGCTATTATTCGATATGTATTCAGTATATTATTACTATTATATTATTACATATTATAACCTTTGAAGTAAGTGAGAAGACTTATAATCCAAAATGTGTGTGCTTTCCGTTTTAATAATAATAATAGCGTCAACTCTAGCTTATACAGCAAGCAGTTGTATTTCTATACAGTTGGTAGTGTGCTGTAACTTGATGTGTTTTGAACAGTGGTACTCCTTGGCTGAAGACTTTAAAACGCAGGTTGGAACCCTTAAGATGGGGATAGGGTTGCCAGCCGCATGCCCCAACCTCTTCCTCTTTACCGATCATATCACCGGGATAGTGAGGTAAACGGGGGTGCGTATCGGTCGAGGATCGAACTCTGGACTACATGAGGCGAGGTTGGCGAGCATTATGCCGGTAAGCCACCAAGGCACAAAAACATATGAATAACATCATAGAGAAAAACTTCGGAATAAAGATGAATATGCGGAATTGAAAGTGAAGAAAAAGGGTTTCATTAAGATTTCTGATAAGTAGCGGCAACATCTAGAGTTTTATCGTCCCCCCTACCGCCGCCAAACATTTTTAAATTGGTTAACACATAGAATATATGTGCGTCGGTGGCACAGCGGATAGGACGCTCGCCGACCATGCACATGGTCCGGGGCTCGGTCCTCGGTCACGAACGCACTCCTTTACCCTTACTAAGGCGGTAAGCCTCTAGCTTGAAGCCCTATGTTCCATTGGGAACGTAATAGTACATTCAGAAATAATAATATGAGTGTTATCAATCAAACACAATCATATGGGAAGTAAGACAAGTGTTTTTATAGTCAAAATAAATGAGTAACTTGTTAGAATGTTATGATTTACTTGAATTGAAATAGAATTTTAAGATTATTTATTATCCTCCTCTGATTTAACTGACTGGTGGTAATAATATCTTTCATATCTCTGGTATTTGCATTGAGTCATTTCTGTTGCATATGTTGTGTTGGGTGTAGACTGGATGAACTAGGCAGGATTCAGTAATCAATCTCTCCCTATCTCCACCTATGTATATTTTAACTATAATGGAGTCATACTCAACCACAGTGCCCAAGTTTTATACTTATATTATATTATGTAACTGGATGGATACCCTTGGTCTACTCATGTGTGTGTTTTCCTCGATTTTTCTGTTAACTGTTGATATCTGAAAAAGATTGAAAAGGGGAGTATCCCTTGTTGATTTGATTTTCGGTGGTTTTCGTTGTGTCTTTTCATTCTAATCGTTTCGTCGTTGCTTCTCTTTCACATATTTGCGTGTAGTGTTTGATATTGGCGTTGATAAGAAATTTACTCATATATGATATTAAAAAAAAACAGGAAAGGAGAGGCTATCTCATGCACGTGTTTCTAATTGTCACTCATTCTTCACGTATTATTATTATTACTATTATAATGAATCGTAATAGTATTGGTTACTGTGATTACTTTTTGCACACTACTCATTCAAGTATTGCCTAAACAACATAATAAAGAACACACGGAATCATTATTATTATTATGATTATTATTGTCTATAGGATGTGAAGTAAACATGCAATGTCAGAAATGTATTCTTTACTATTGTTATATAATAATAAATAATAAGGGAAGTAAAATCACATGGTTAAGTTTGTTTCGCACTTATTGACACTCATCATCATCATTGTGAGCGTTGAGAAAAATATAATAATAAGAAAAGGAATGTTACTCTTCTCTTTACCTACCTATCTACTCAACCCCCGATTAGACTGAATTACTCGCATCGTTCTTGTACATAGATACACCCCCCCACACACACACACCTTCATTATTTCATTCATTCATTCATGCGCTCACTCGCTCTCTGTTTGTCTGTATGTATGTCTGTCTGTCTATCTGCGCTTCCCTCTTCTTCACCTTCTAATCATTGAAGAGGATAATAATTTTTTTTCAAAAAACAGGCTCAGATAAATAAACACTTTTTCTTTTAGGTACAGTGAAACTTCAAGACAAAGAAGTTACTTTTTTGTCTCAGAGTAGTGTGTTTTTTTCGGCTTCTTTTCATTGCTTTGCTTTTACACACACACGCACGCACGCACGCAAGCACACGTGTGTGTGTGTGTACGAGTGATCACTGATTGTGATTTACTCTTTTATATATCATGTTTGCCTGCCTGCCTGAATAAAAGGGAATGAAAACAAGTCGTTTCTCATGTATATATCAATCTTGTGATGTTTTTTATTCTATTATTCTTCTTCATTAAATATATATTGTTATGTAACTCCTTAGGTATGTGGAGAATTCGATTGAATATCTATATCTTGACGACATCAGCTAAACATCCATTGGAATGCAAGAGAATTTACGTGTCCTATGTGTTCACGAAATGCCTTCGTTGTTGTCATCGAAATTAATAAGTGTGTGTATGTGTGTGTGTGTGTGTAAGTGTGGCATTCAGCAAGGCGTGTATCGTCTTATTCGTAACTTATCTCTATATATATACATCAGCTGGATACGATGTGTATGTATCTCAGTGAGTGGATATTTTCTTCCTCTATTGAGACTTCAAAACTTAACTCGAAAGCGTTATGTGTGCATCATCAGTAGAAGTCAATCTGAGTCAATCAATATAAAAACTGTTTCTTGTGCAACCAAGATCGATTGAAATGCTCAGTCAACTGTTGACTTGTTGGATACTACTTCTCAATAGGAACAGCATTATTCACTGGGTGTTTTAAGCATATCTAACTGACAAATTCCAAGTAGTAGTAGTAGTAGTAGTAGTATTAAGAAATACGCTTTCTGGATCCCACTGCTAGCGATTTCTAAAAGGAATATTTCGTCTGACTTTTTACATTAAGAAGAGGTTAAGACACTCAGGCATAACTCAACTAATCCCTCCTCCTATTACAGTTCTTCGTTACTCTTCATTCTTATTCTTTCCTGGATTGTTTAAAAAACGACTATGTCATACTTCGTAGAACTCTGAAGACTGTTGATCAGTAGGGCGAGTGGTATCCTATCTCATTGGGCCATATCGCTGACATTGTCATTGACAGGCACTTGATGTCATGCAACAAATTTGCTAAAGGAATCTCGTCAGACTGTAAGCATCCAGTTTACTCAACCGCAGCTCCAACCTTGTGTCTCCTCAGGTAAAACACAAGAAGTCTTTTCAGAAGACTTTATACCCGTACGTATAAGTATGCAAATTCCACTATACCATATTTGGCGGCAGGTATTTTATGTGATGAAAATAGTGTTAGGCATGAACCAGCTAACCTTCTTTGCATTAGTAAATAAACCATTTCCTCCACCCTTACAACATCAAACTTTATTGTTATTGTATTTCTTATACTTATAATCCTCTCAATTTTTGTTTTTTATTTGTTTATTCTGTCATAAGTGTGAGCATCATTTAAGGTGTGTCATAACGGTTAATTTTGTATTTCCCCTCACCATACTGTATCAACAGAACATTAGATTCAATAATCTATAACATGCTAAGATTTTCAAACTGAACTGACAATACTATTTGAAACAAACTCACTGTTATTATTATTATTTTTATTATATTTAATATTCTCAATTCGTACTTAGAATATTTTTGACTTTATATCGTAAGTGTGGACAAATTCCTTTCGTTAATTTTGTTTTAATTTTATTTATATTTTGAGTAAATCAGATGCAAGGTGTTGTGAGAAATGCTGAGAATTCCATTCTGTATTATAAGTAGTGCTGTTTTTTGAAGAAAGTAGATTATTACTATTATTAATTTCAAAATTAGGGCTGTGGGTAACTCTAAACATTAGCAACCCAAACAAAGGACTCAAGTAAACGTAAGTAATGATCCAGATCAGCCAATACTAAAAACGCCGAAATATAGATGAAGTACATGAGTTAAGCTGCAGATTGCATCAAGAGGGAAATGTTTGAGCACTGCAGAAATAATAGGCTCATAGGAAGCTTGTAGATGTGTGGAGTAGTAATGTCTTTACAGAGGTATGCAACCGCTGTTGATGGATGTGTAAAGTTGTCCAGTTGTCTGTCGTTACAGAACACGTATCCGAGATGATATTTCGTGCCTCCACTAGGAACTGGCATACCAACTATAAACCAAACAGTGTATCTCTATCTAAGTAAAATTAATCACTGCGAAATTCAAAATAATTTCAATAAGAAGTAGTCATACTTTGATTGGACACTAGTAACTAATGTGATGTGTCTAGTCCTGTCTTTTGTGCAGGCTGAATTCTATCAGTCAGTCAGGTTTGCATTGTGACCACCATTCCACTAGGTAGCTGGCCATCACAGTGCACATTGATTTGATGATATTAGATGGTTGGGAGGCAACTGGCAGGAAGGCTTGCTTTTGACTTAGGTATCGTGTTAGTTGGCACTCAGCAGTCGTCAGCATGGTGTATCTGCAACCCCATTGAAGAAAATCTTGTCCCTCCTTCTGAGATTCGAAGCCGCATCACCCAGTGCTGCTGTCAGAGACGTTACCACTGAGCTAGCTATTCGGGCTCACTGATACATTGTATCAATGAAATGCATCAGATCTACGCTTTAAAATTCTCTATCTTCTTCGTCTCATGTATAATTCGTCCTCTTTCATTCTTTTCGTTGATAAGTTTCAAAATATTTTAAAAAAGAAAACAACATCCCTTCCCTCTAGTGCTGCTTAATTTTCGGTGGCTTTCTAAGTTTTTTCATACATTTATTCCCCTTAATGAATTTGAATAAAGCAAAAACAATAGTTTTCGCAGAGTAAAATGGTACCATCATTGTTTGTTTCGTTGGCTTCCTTCTCATCAGCTGCTTACATGCAAAAGTCATTATTAAGTATATCTACAAAAATAATTTTAACATACTTGCACAGAGTTCATTTTAAACAAAAAAATCAATCAATCACTATATGCGTACTGTAATAATATATACATGTATAATATTAAACACTATTCAGA